CCAGGCATTTTTCCATATCAATTAACAGTTTTTCATCACCTTAGACGAAATAGGGTGAATACATTTCACATAACTGATTTGCTGGATGTCTCGAAACCCTACTTATGAACGAAAAATTAGAATGCAGCATTATTTCAGTGAATCACAATTAGACACTTTCCCAAAAGACGCCCTTATCTCTAGTTCACTACTACTGCGGCTATTATCACTATTACTACTAGTATAATTATTTTTCGTATTTTTTAAGTAGAATTTCGAGACTACTACATCTCATATTATAATTATAATGTAAATGGTAATCTTATTGTTGGAAAATTCACATTCCTCCACAAGTTCGTGCTTTCTTGGTTGACTAAGGCTTTTATTCAAGATATTCTACTTTATTCAAAGTTAAACTATCGAATTTTCTTGCTTAGTAAACTGGAATATGTTTGTAAGTATGATATATTTTTCTGATGAAATCCACCAAACGACGAATAAAGGGCTAGCACATTTCCACCGGAATCGAAGGCGATTGCCTCCGTGGCAACGTTGACAAGTATGCTACAGTTAAGCCATCCGACAGCTGGCCAGGATGAAAACGCTTTCGTTTTCTGGCTGGAACAACCTTCGGATCGTTTGAATACACAGTTTCACTCCAAATATCCGTGAATTCAACACATTTAGCTCAAACTATTCCTCGAATAACAACTTTTTTTCATACATACAATCAACTTGGCTGGGTTTGCATAATCCCATTACCAGTTACCAGTTTGGATTGGACTCTGTTTCACCGACTTTATTTGTCCTCTTTCACTCTGACCACGTCCATCTATCCACCCTTGTTCTCGCGTTTGCTCATTCACTGCCTCACCCCTCCGTTTGTCATACACACGAAGTCAATCAAGACCATTAGGTACCAGGCTAGACGAAGAATCAAGTCTGATTTTCGCACATATCCTTTCTTTCCCAGCCTTCTGTACATTTCCGCAACCCTGTCCTCCACAATTCTCCCCTCTCGGCAACGCCTATTCATGCTCGCGGCTGGCCTCACGTCGCGAAGTCCACATTCTCACCGCCCAGTTCGGCTTCTCTGCAGCCCTGACTTGTTTTCGGAACACCTCCTCTCTGCGCCTCACTACCCTCCAGGGAGAGCAGGCAGCCACATTTACATAATCGCCAGACTAACTCATGCCTCGACTCGAGTCGGCCAGAGTGCTATTTGGGTTTGCCCCACTACCCATCTTCGTCTCTCTTGCTCGCTTGCACCCTCGTCTCCTTCGTCTCCATGGCGCGTGGCCGGCTTTGTCGTTTGAGTCCGGCCGAGCCGCATAACTCAGGCGAAATGAGTCATGCGTACAGAAGTCGTGTCTACTTTGCTGGCTGTGGAGGAAGAAGTGAAAACTGAGGAAATGGCACAAGAGCCACAGATCTCGAAGGTACATGGCGGTGGCTTCGTCTGTTTGCTCACGGGTGTCAGTGAGAATTTATGCTAGTGTTTGCATGTTTGTGTGTGTGTGTGTGTGGACAATTGAGTGGACAGGGAAAATATGGGTTTGCGCAGAGGCCGGTGTGCATTTGAGTGAGTGAAGTATGACAGGAATGTGAAGAAAAGAATTTACGCATGTGTACATTTGTGTGTAAGCTTGGCTGTGTGTGACTGTGAATTACTGGCGAACTGTGTGATGGGGAGAGCTTAGGTACATTTATGTGCCTAAGACATTCACTGGGATAGAACTTGTCAAATGAGGGATAGGATTTGGGTCAACTAAGACGTAGGCACGTGTGTGCGTTTATGTGGGAATAAAATGAGGCCACAAGGGCGGAGCGAATTAGGTTAGGCTGAACAAACTAGCCGCCTCGAACGAGGCCCAACTCGTTCGTGCCAGTTCACGGTTCGAGTCCCGTTGTGGGATGAAGACAATTAGCCGAAGAGGCCCAGTCAGGGATTTCATTGTGTGAGTCTGGGTTTTAACATCTTGCTGGCAATTGAGCCCCGCTTCGAGGGCAGTTCGAGTCCTGAATCTACCGTCCTGTACCCAGCTCGGGCTTCTCGACTCCCGAGGGAATAGGCTTGACTGAAAAGCCGCATTCAGATTTACCGAGAGTCTCGAAGCCTATTCATTAGGCAGCTAGTAAAGTCTGTAGTTCGAATCTCGTTGAAGCTGTGGAGGACTGCAATTCGGGAGGCCATCGTGAAGTATCCTCATATCATCGTAGAAAACTAAACTATCAACAACCCTGAATGACCAAGGTTCCTATTTAAAAAACTTTTTGATAGCCTCAAGTTCTACTCACTACAAATCACCCACCTTATCCAGTCTCTGCTGGTGGGATATGTCAGTTTTACTGCAAACAATGCGGTCAGAAGATAGAGGAGTGAGGACGTTTGCGGCATGACACAGTGGATGAAGGGAGAGACAGAGGGTAAAGGAGACTGAGTGAGCATTGGCCGCATGGACCTTGTGCGAAAGGGATCGCTTTGGGGTATGTTTGCAATTCCACACCCTCGGCGACTGTAGATTATTTTGCTCCCACCGGAGGCCGGTCTAGCTACCTCGGGATATCCAGTACCGGTAGACCAAAAATGTCCGCGATGAGGGCACGTTCTCAGATTTTCCCACCCGCTCGGCCGGGTTTCTAGGACGGGGTGTCCAGGGCATTGGCAGTTCAGGTCGCCTCGGGCTCCAGATGTGGTGACTGCTTCCGTTGGCGATCAACGCGTCGGGGTTGGCCGGGAAGGTGTGCGAGGATGAAGAAGAGGTGGCCAGACAAGGCAATGTCAGAGGTCATTTCAGAGGCCAGTTGAATGAAATAAAGATGTACCCATGGCTGTAGTTAAATAAAAGTGTACAGTTAAACACGTCTTGTGTACATTAGCATGCGTACCCAATGGATGCGCCTACAACGGGTGTTTATTGCCTGGCTGACAATGCTAGCCGAAATGGAATTTTCAGGTTGCGTCAATTTTTTCTTTCGATTGAAAATTTAATTCCTTATCTCCTACACCCTACCTGCGCCCGAGGGTGTGTCAGAGTGAAGGCCGATAAGTCAATACTGCTTGTATGTAAGTTCTATTGGAAGTGTCAAAGACTTATTAATAAATAAAAATGAACTAATGTTGGAGTTCCTTTCATTTCGTTTGTAGTGGTTAGTGGAAGGGCCTTACCGGAAGCTGTAAGGAATTGTGATTGTAGATTTGTGCAAATAGGTCCTCGGCGCACCGCCCTGAGACCCCGATGAATCTTTGATGAACTTTTGTCCGTCATGTAATGGACATCGTCAGAGCAGGACAGCATGTTTTACAATAATTTTCCAAGCTCAAAGACAAAAAATGAAATGTACTCCAACATGAATTTATTAAAGGATTCTTCGAAAATCATTTTTTCTACATATTTACAAAAATGTACCAAATCAGCCTAGGTCGATTAAGGTGATTTAAGGACTGATATTTGAACTTTTCAAAAAAGAAGTTGAGTCCGCCTCAGGATTCCATCAGGTTTCACTTGCATAGGTTCAATCTATACCACAACGGGATTCGAAAACAGGTCATGAGTATCATGGCGATGTTACCAGTCCAACAAGCAGCCACAGTTGTCGGTGGTTTACATAGCAGAATCGACATTTAAATCAATCCAAGTCTCACCCGATTGACATTTGTAGTGAGATTGTCGACACAGAAACCATCTATTCGCCATCGCAACCGATGAATTCGGCATAAGTAGGCTTCAAGATTATCAGTGATTCTTTAATTAGAACATAGTCACCCAAAGTCTCTGTTTGATCCTGTTTTCGCAACTTGGTCGTCTTGCCAGCGTGACCCAAATGAACGTATCCGGAGTCCTCAGTAGGCATGATAATTTCCAGATTCGGACTGTGGACATGGTACATTCTCAGCCGTAGCACCTACTTCGTAGTCGGCGTTGTCAATGAGCCTTGCCATATTAGCACCTACCAGATTACAATTCGTCAAAGAGACATGTGAAGTCGATCCTTCGACAAATTGTCTGGTGAAAAAGGAATATACCGAGTGCGTGGAACGATGCCCAAATATATCATGGATGCTATGGATCTCGGACAAAGTGTATCCAACTCAGTCCCATGACAATACGACCAATTTGCGAAAACAACATCAATAAAACGAAAGGAGACAGCCGCCGTACTAATGGTCATACTATATTGGTCTTCAGACTCTAGATTAAGAAAAGATAGTCAAGTTTTCGAGGCTACCATTATGCCATGTATATGAGAAGTATTCATCCTATTTCGCTTTAGGGGAAAATGGGACTGGTAGATGAATTTTCCCACAATGATATGAGTAGATATTACATTTCTATTGAATTTTGCATAAACTTTTTTTCCCAAAAGTATCCGCATCCCGACTGAAATGAACTGCAGTTTCGACCACGCCTAGATCACTTCTAGCGGGACTCTAACCATGACAGTTCAGCGTATGATCTCAACACATTAACCACTACGCCATATTATCACAAGTACCTTCTAATCGAAGAGTAAATGGTTATTTAAATGAATGTCAGGCATTTTTCCATTTCACATTCTATGGGGATATTGTCGATTAAGCATAGTTGTACTTGCTATAGCAATCCACTAGATTACTTATTTTTCGTTTATAAGTAGGCTTTTACGACCAACAATTGGCCATATATATGAGATTTATTCACCCTACTTCCTTAAGGCGATAAAGGAATGGAAAATTTCATGGAAATGTAAGGTATACTCATTTCATTGCGGAAAAATAAAACCACTTGTCTTCTATCAGCTTAAACGAAATAGTAGTAGTCTAGAAAACCTGCTTAAAATACGAAAAATAATTAATGTAGTCGATTATTACAGCAGCTAAAACTTGCTTTATCGGCATTCCCATCACAAAATGTGATATGCGAAAATGCCGGGCTTTCCTTGAAATTCACATCTGCCCTGTGAAACAAGAACACTCGTGGCAATGTGGTATAGTGGTCAACATGTCGAGATCCTACGCTGAACAGTCGTGGTTCGAGTCCCGGTGGGCGTTTGAGGTGGAAACGACAGTCCACTCCAGCCTGGATGAGAATACCCACATGGAAAGTAAGGCAATATAAACTTTACTCGAAACGTAAGGTCTACTCATATGATTGTAAAAAAATTTAACTACCATTCTTCCTATCACATTTGCTGAATAGAATGAATACATCCCATATAGTTAAGTTTTCACACTAAGAATTTGATTATAGAGAGGCCTAGTTTGCATTGGATGTCAGGTCTCTCTTGTAAACGACTGGCACCCGTGGTTGTGTACCGCAGTAGTAACGCCACCGCAATACTCACGACCATTTTTCGAATATCTTTGGGAGTGTAGAGAAATCCTACGCAAGATCGAAACTACTAAAGACAATTAAATGTCATACAGAGGCCGATTCATCTTATTTTGGGTAAACTTAAATGTCAGTCCTTTAATTACCTTAGTGATTTAGTTGACTAAGTTATTATCCAAGAATAACCAGCAATCTCAAAACCTACTTAAAAGAGAGATCTATAAACATGTGAGTGCATCTGCCCTTATGTGCCTATGTGTCTCCATGTGAACTTATATGTACGAGACAAGAAGTATTCGATAAAAGTAATTGCATTTAACTGCGGAAACAGCATATTGGCAAAACGTTGCGTCTGAGAAGATTCAAACCCACGTCCAACTTCTCTCATGCATTCCATTACATTTAATTTTTGAGCTCAACAGTATCTACAGGCACTTTTGTGTTTAGGCACCATTTGCCGAATGGGACGATAGGCTTTTCCACCATACAAGTGGCTAGATGAATACATTATTGTATTGCAAAATGATCTGGTCATTGATTGAAT